CAATAACATGTAACATGTAAATTGGGTAGAGACACTCATGACAACGGCACATCAGTAAACGTGTATAAATGTGGTTTTAGCATACTAAATCACCTTCGGTATGTCTGTATTCTTAAAAATGTTGGATGGTCAAGAATGTTTTTATGAAACATATTTTCTGTCTATATTAACATTAACACGAATCATAAAGGGTATAAGTGCAGTTTAAAAGCCACGTTTGTGTTTATGAAACTTAAACTGATCTCACAGTAAAACAAAGTAGAAATCTTATCATAAGATGTACAGTAAGATGAAGGTTCTAAATGTTATTCAGTTTTATGAAAACCAATATTGGTGTATACTACAGTACAGTAGCATACTTTTCCCTCATATTCATAACTATACCTAGATTTCAAAAGTTCAAAAAAAGTTAATACAACAACTATGTTTTATTACTTTTTAAACTTGCAGTATAGAGTTACTTAAGTACCTCACTATTATGAAATACGGCTGTTATGTAGGTACAATATTAAATAATAAATACTTGTATTACAGTGCATCGGTTCTAATTAACGTCTATACATCATTACAATTAATATTGTTGACTACGATTATGTACCTACCATACTAATTACAATAATTTATTTTATTATGTCGATGCATTGAATAAATAAAGTTGTGGTGTTACAAACGCCTAATGGTTTTGACACTCCCATATTAAATCCCATACTAAAATATGGTTCCAAAAATATGTATTTTGGTATAATACCTATCATAATAATAATAATACGTACTTACATTGTAGTTGAAGTTTTATTGTAAGTGTAAAAAGAGTGCAATCTCTAATAGGCTTAGGAGTCACATAGTTAGGAGGCTAACACAATGTATGCCTTTACACATTATCACCTTATATTTATATGTATAATATCAATTATTTATAAGTGGCGTTTGCTTCAGCCACAGATAAGATAATATTAAATCTTGAGTTCATGTTTCTTTGGTCGTATCAAATGGTTTGTTATTTAAAATTAAATTATTAAGTATAGTAGCACAAAAAGAATAATATTTGTGTAAGCAAATGATTTTAAACATGTAAAATTATCATAAAATTACAAAAAAAGTTCCTCCCCGGCGGGGAATCGAACCCCGGTCTCCCGCGTGACAGGCGGGGATACTTACCACTATACTACCGAGGATACGAACCAATATGTCGAAATTATGAATGTATAGATTTTAGTACAACCAATAGCAAACATTACAATGTTTTTATTAAGATGGTATCAGTAGATTAACAATTGAAACAGTTTAATATCAAAGCAATATTAATAATATTCTATTCTATTTATTAGATCCTATTTATACCCATAAAACAGTTATTATTTATTTAAATCAAAATTCAAAGATCCTTCTTTTGTCTATATGTATGGTCAATGTAATTTATTAATTTAATTAAATATTTAAGTTATTATATTATAAATCAATATTTGATTTTAGAGTTTAATAATAATAATTAATTACTGTTAAAATAACACACCTGCAACAACAAATAGGCAAATAACAATAAGAATGTTATTTCCTGTTTGCATCAATATCAATAATTAAATTATAACGTAATATTAAGTACATTATAATTTGCTATTTTGTTTGTTGAGATGGTTTGTATATTTACCTGTTTTAGTGACATATGTAGCTACGTTACCTGATTATAAAATAACTACCTAACCCGTGCAAACTCATCTGCTTCACATCACCGACGGACAATGTCGGGTCATTTGCAGTGGAGGTAAAATCGAGTACATGCCATGATTTCGCTGCACACAAGTCGACCTATGAAGCGATCTCCCCACCACTGCTATTGTTGCGATATTGTCCCGATTTTAGTAACGTGGGTAGGTCGTTTTATAGTTCTGCTGTGTGTTCAAAGATGATACCACGGAATCTACCTACAACAAACATGTGTAATTGTACCTACACACGAATTAAAGTCACGAAACTTTGAAATTGCATATAGTAGATCACAGTAGATCCCTAGTTTGCGAGTGATCACTTAACAATTTTGTAACTATGAGTACTGTCATGTTAGATTGGAGTATTTCTCCCTAATTTTGGGGAATATTATAGTGATGATCTAAAATTTGAAGAGAACGAAGATGGGATGTGTGAAGGAAAAAGGTTAGGAGGGATTTTGAAAGTTTTTGATATTAATAAACAAATGCATCAGCTTTTTTGCATATACAAACAGTGAACAAAGTCTATAGAAAATCTGTTGCAGGTCATGCGACCTTGAATAAAATACGTCTTCTTTATCCGGGAATTTCGATAAAATTTGGGGAGAATACCACATAGTCATCTGACAACACTGAGTGAGTGTCTTTTAGTGCGTTCTGGTCACGATGTAGAACAGTCGTGACGTAGCCGACGCCCAGTCCATGCCCTTTTCTGTACTGTATCATGGCACCAAATAGAAATATTACATCTTGACTCACAGAATTTCTGGGAACATTTTTATTATGGCATATTAAAATAATTCATGGCAGTAGTATTTTATCATAATTGTAATTTCATTGTAAAGGGATTGTAATAGAAAAATATTTTTTTAATACACTTTTAAGTGTAAATAAATATATATTAACCATCTTAATTAGGTATATTATACATTACTTTTCGACAATTCATAAAAAAGAAAATTACTTTTCTTGTTTATTTCATCCATACACTACTTCTATTATTTTAAACTGACTACTTACAGTTTCATTTTCTTATTAATTGCGATTCTCCTCATCCCTCTTGGTAAGCCGCACAGATTTATGGTCCCTCTAAATCCCTTGCTACTCCACTTGTAGACCAAATTAAGTATAATCATTTAGTACTTCACATATAGAACAAGAAAGATTAAGTTTCTTTCCATAGTGTTTGACAAAATACAGAAAACGAATGTAATCACTAATTTCACATTAGTGCTCATCTGCCTCCGTGGCGCAATTGGTTAGCGCGTTCGGCTGTTAACCGAAAGGTTGGTGGTTCAAGCCCACCCGGGGGCGATTCTTTTGTAATTTTTTTTAAATAATTAATTAATAATATTAAGTTATATATACAAAATTTAATTTAAAAATTAAATACACATAAAATTGACTGTGATGCTAGCACTCACTATCTATGTACTTACAAAATAAAATTCACTAACAATAGACAGTGAACAATTTGTGTTATTAGAAAAATATATAATTGTATAAAAAGTCAATAAATTTAAGAATAAGTATTTCTGGTACTTAACAAGTAAGATAAAAATGATTATTTGGGAGATTAAAAATTGTGTTTTGTTACATTTGGAATATAACAAAACACAATTTCATACATTTGGAATTTCCAATACTACTTCATAGATGGCGCTGTTAGTAAAATAATTGAACGAGGAAGGTCTGTACATTATTTTATTATAGAAATTATTGATTTTATATTTTATTTACTCTATGATTTATACGTACATGTAATATTATAAATTATTATTACATTTTTATTTATATTAGATCAATTGTAAATTTGTACGTTAGAAATATATTTTTATTATTCAATAGAAAAATGATATCAGTAATGAATGAGTTATTGACATTATATATAGATTAAAAAAAAATTAAATGAGTATTTTTATACATTTAAAAAGTATTCCATACTTTCACCATCGTCGTCGTCGCCTTCGATAGCTCAGTTGGTAGAGCGGTGGACTGTAGAGGCATTAACGATTGTAATCCATAGGTCGCTGGTTCAAATCCGGCTCGAAGGAATCTTTTTACATTTTATTTCTCTATATCATACCTTGTGATATTGGAAGTTAATCAATAAACATTATCATAACAAAAATATATTTAATTCATATTTTTCAGAATATAGTCAAATGTAACTAGTTAAATGAGTGACATATCAATGAACAAATAAACGTAACTTAATATATAAATACCATAATATAAAATACCATAGACAACACACAATCTGGTCCCTTCTATTGCCATAGTATTATTTATTTATTGAGAATGTATAAAATTTAATAAGGTATTGTCACAATATAACTACCTAAATCTTATCAATTTTATTATCAATGTAAGTATTTCTAATATGTTTATTGCTGTGGTATATTGTTATTATAGTCCATATCACCAGATAAAATATTGTTGCATTTTATCTTTATTATTTTTTGTACAATAAACAAAAACTATTGATAAAAATATGCTGATTTTTTACCAATAGTTTTTATCAAAATAACAGTGCGTCAGAGTAAAGCTAAGTTACAGTTTATTTGACTAGGTATATGCGTATTGTTACTTTAAATCTGTTTAACTATTTATTAAATTCTAATTTTATAAATGCAGTGGTATCTCGACATACGAGTTTAAATCGTTCCACAACTTTGCTAGTATCTCAAAGCAATTTTCCCTATTGAAATTTCAGCTGCAGATCGTTTATAAGAACTGTCCAAGGAGGTTTGTTTCTTCGTCCCTTTCAGGAACAACTCCGATGCACGACCAGTTGCAACTTTGTCGTAGTGATTTTTATCTATGAACTCTACAACTGTCTCCCACATTCCCAAGATCTCCTTTATATCTCTTATAGAGATAACCTTCTGACAGACTCTGGCACTATACCGCTGTACACAATACCTTCATGCGCTTCGCATGTTGGGTTAGGTATAGTGTGCTATTCCTAGTATTTCGAATCTTGCTCTCATCTCAAAATAAAATATCTCTAGCTCGGCTCATATCTCAAAACACTCGTATATTAAGAGCACTTGTATGTATATGGAGGTACCACTGTAGTAATAATGTTTAAATGGATAAGATAACTGAGATCGTTACAGATCAGATATGTTCTAGTTTCAAAGTTCCTGTCAGATTTGACCGCGACAGATTGGCGAACCGCCTTGAATTTAATATGTAGATACCTTTCTAAGATTTTGTATACACGTGAGAAAATATTCGTACTTTAACAGTCCAGTCGTTACATCACCGAAGTTTTTTCGATTTATGATTATGGAAATATCCGGTTTTAAAGGTTAGCTACAAGATTGAAAAAATATATTATAATAACATTATGCATTTATCCTCCGTCCTATTAAGTAATATTACCTTATCTGTAGTCCTCAGTCCTAGGGGACACTAGAAGCACAGATAACATAATATTACATACTAGAAGGGACGACGGACGATAAGTTTACGGTAAGTATTTTTTTTTAGTAAAATAAATCAGTTTATATCAAAAGTTAATTAGAGGAGGCGGCATATTTCCAGTTGGCACCAGACAAAGAAAGGCCATACTACTTCACTGGCACTACCACCACTCCATTCCAAACACTAGTTACATATATTACGCACAGGATTTCAAAAACAATGTAGATGAGCATTTTCTTTGAGATGTGCTCAGAGGTCGTATAAATGTGGTATCTTCAGAATTATTCTGTTCATCAATAGCATCATTTAGAAAAATGTTTTGAAATATATGACACATTAATTAATGGAGGAGAAGTCCTCATACATGAACGCTTCATATATGAGACCAGTTATGAATAGGGAAGAAGCAAGAATTACTATGTATATATGTGAGGATTGGCTAAAGGTACTGTAAGTGTGAGAGATAACACTATTTATATTTATATAACTGTGTATATATGTACTCCTCAGGTTCTTTATTTACGGAGAACCATTACATCTACTCGATGATACAAAGTATAAACATATAAAATGAAAGAAAGTAAATTATATTATTTTTCTTAGGACACAAATTATAACAGATTATATTTGTCATAGTAAAAAGTGGCTTTTCTATATATATACTACATATATATAAAAGTCACATATAGTAATGTCGCTATACTTATAGCGACATTACGTGGAATCCACAACAGAAAGTATGGACGTTACGAGCACAAATTACACATAATTACATATTCCAGAGTTCAGATGTAGAATGCATATTTATTATGAAAGATTATAATTTCTATTAAGTTGGTGTTATATACACTAAAACACTCGGTTCACTCTGCACACCCGTTAGTGGTCTGGTGTGAAGATAAATAATCTGGATTCTCTAATATAATCTCTATACAGTTCATTTTATCGTATCTGCGACGATATATATATATATATATTGGAATATAAATGCATCATTTCAGAAGATAAAATTATGTTTTTGACGTAACAATGCGTAATGTTTCCTTTAAGTGTCAATTTTCATGTACGGCAATTTTTTTATTTATGTTATGAGAATGGATTAAGCCGTCATCCATGTCATCTAGATTCAAATTAAGCAAGGATCAGTCGATACAAGTATATGTAGACTTAAATGGCGAAATTATCAAAATATACTGAAAATAGAGATAGTATATCATTAACAATTATCAATTGATTTATTATCTCCTAATTATACAAAACTTGTATAATTCAATCAATTTATTACTAGTAATAGTGAGTATCTAACACTACGCGCCTGTTGAAAGTAGTGTTTAACAGACTTCATTATTATATTAAATAAGAATCATTGACAGTCTGCAATGTCAAGCAAATCAAAAGGTATCTGTTACAGCACTAAACATATATACGGCAAAGTGGTCATAGTAACCGGTGGGAATGCAGGAATCGGTTACGAAACGGCGAAAGACTTGGCCTTCAGAGGTGGCCGTATCATTTTAGCATGCAGAAACGAAACTCGTGGAATCACAGCCAGGGACAAAATAATTACGGAGACTGGTAATCAAGATGTGCACTTCCGTAAACTAGATTTGTTGTCGCTGAAGTCGGTGCGAGAATTTGCTGAGGGTATTCTAAATACTGAGAAAAGAATCGATATACTGATTAACAATGCAGGTATATATAGTAGCAAGTTTGTGAAGACAGAAGACGGCTTGCTAGAAGGAATGCAAGCTAATCACTTTGGTCCATTTCTGCTAACGTGCCTGTTACTACCAATGATCAAAGCGTCAGCTCCTAGTCGTATTATCAACGTGTCATCTGTAGCTCATTCGAGCGGAAAAATCGACATTGATAATTTGAATATGGAAAAAAATCGATCTTTCAAGGGTCATGAGATTTACTGTAATTCTAAATTGTGCAACGTCCTCATGGCAAATGAATTGACACGGAGGTTAGAAGGCACTGGTGTAACTGCTAATTCCTTACATCCAGGCGTTGTTAATACTGAGATACTTAACAGTGTCGACAATTGGATAGCAAAAACTGCACTCTCAATGTTAAAGTCACAGTTTAAGACACCATGGGAGGGCGCTCAGACTACAATCTACTTGGCTGTATCACCAGAATTGGAAGGTGTAAGTGGTAAATACTTCGCTGATTGTCATGAGGAAAAATCCTGCAAGAAATCCCGAGACCCAGAACTGGCTCGTAAACTATGGGAAGTTTCAGAAAAACTAGTGCATTTGAATGATTGACATATGTTTGTGATATATCGTTATTACAGAAATAAATACAAGCTGTATCGTTAGTGAATAAACCTATATTCTTCATTATGTAATTTGTGAAGTACATAACTTATTATCACAATACAAGGTCTCAAATATTACTAGTCCATTACTAGAACAACAACTGTTTGAAAGTGTGTTAAACACTTTCAAACTTAGTAATAGTCTGTAATATTATCTTATCTGTGGTAATAGTTACCTTATGAACCGTTCCTTGTTCTGTTCTTGTGACCTATAGAAAAATGGAATACTGAAATGATAATCATGATGCAATAAGTAATAAAGTCTTGTACAAAATTACAAAATATGATACATCTTAAGGGTCGGCAACGCGCATGTTACACCTCTGGTGTTTCAGGCGTCCATAGGCTACGGTAACCATTTACCATCAGATGAGCCGTATGCTTGATTGCCACCATAGTAGTATAAAAAAATTGTGACGCAGTCACTTGAAGATTTAATAAATACAATAATTAGAAAAATAAATTTTGAATAGAACCTTTGGTATTTTCAATGTCTATTGGTCATATGATCTTTTTTATTATTTCTTTCTATTTTCTTATCTTTTACAGACAACTTTTGAAAAGGTTAGCTAGTTAAGATTGCATAGCCATAAAATTGATTTCTGTAGATTCATATTTATATTGTATATATAAATATGTTTTTATGCTGCAATAAACTAATACAATAAAAGAATAAATAAAATTTTGTAATAAATTAGTAGGTGTAGACAGTGTTCACATAGATAACAAAACATCCGATAATGTTACTAAAAATAAAATTATTGGATTCGATTTGATAAAATTAATAGGACTGATATCTATGCATACTTGTTATTAATGTAATTTAGATATATTATAGATATAATATATTCATCCTTATCCCATTTAATATGTGAATTGTCACCGTTATTAGGATATATAGAAATTTAGATAAGTGTAGCAAATACTTTTTTAAAATAAGAAAAATAGATTTTTTGTAACTTTGAGTTTATCTAAGCATAAAACTACATTATGAAAAATCAAAATAAATAGAAATACTTAACTGAACAAGTTAAAACTATTTCGATATAATTCTATTGGTAGTTTTGTTTATCTTTTGATAAACATGCAACAAATATACATGTTTTATTTTTTATTGCGTTTTTCTTTTCAATAACTGCATTTTTTTTTATTTAAGTCAATGGAATGTCATGTAAGTTGAGCGCATCTGATAGTAAGCTGTAATCTACGCCTATATGCATTAACAGCACTTCGGACATCACATTATTATGTAACAACCGTGACAGATGAGTGCATGTGTTGCTATTCCAGATTACTAAGTTGTCATAGCTACTTCTCCTGTAATTTGCATTGTGTCCTTTGATCTCGTCACAATTTCTGTTTCTTAGGGTTTCATAGCTATACCTAAGTTACAAAAGAGTTCTAATTACGACTGATGTCTTATCAGTTGTAGACATTGAGACAAATTATATATTATTACTTCAGATTATTAAAAAAGGTAGATGGCGTTTTGTCGGATGTTTTATATCTTATCTAGTTATTCAACATAACGTGTAGGCTAAAAAGGTAGATAGATAGATAGATTTTAAACAATAGGCGTATCGTTTTTTTTTTCATAGAGTCGTAACTCTATGAAATAGACATATGTGTGTATATATTTTTAATGATTTTCATATCCATATTATACAATAATATGTTCTTTCAGTTAATTACTAAAATTTATTATTGTAAATATTCGTATTCGTTTTCCTGAAACTAATTTACTTTAACATTTATTCACCGCATATTAAGTCTAGCATAAAATATTGTACGATATATTATATATACAAAATATTCATGAATTGCACAGTATTCTAGAGTAAAGTCAGATATTGAAGAGAGACAGTAATGGATGCTGTGCTGCTATGGAGATTCGCATCAGTGAGGGACATTCAACCTGCGTTGACCGAATGTAAGGGGGAACGAACGCAGCGCTTGCCAAGTCGCAGTCGCCGTTTTGCACGGCACGCGACCACTCGTTCAAGAAATCGTAAAAACAAATACCGATTCGCGATTAATCTATTCAGACTGTACCCTGAGAAAGTGACCCATAACAAGGTTCCGTTTAAAAACCGGTGTTACCGTTTAACAAACGAAAGTTACGGATTTTGGTGGTGCGAATGCTGCATCTTGTACCTGGCGGTAAGTGAAAATTGTTATCAAACCGATTAATCGTTTAATCGTATGATACAATTGTATCGAGATGGCATGCAATTTTAATTGTATCGATTGAGTTTTCATTTCTTTTGCAGATTATCGTTTTGTTATGTCATTAAACTTGAATTTATAATGAGTTGTTTAACTGCTAATTATTGCGATTATGACATTTAGCATTAGTGGAATATATACATTAAGAATAGAGTTCAATGCACTCAAGTATATGCGACATAAATAAAATAAAAACAAATTAGAACCTAATACATTATTAAAATCTAGAAAGTTGTTACATACCGAAAGTATGTATAAGGATTTATGGCAATACGGGTTTAACTGACCATGAATTCACGAACAAGTAAGAATAATAAATTAATTAATTTATATAATTACATTATTGTTATGTAATTTTGCTGTTGTTAATTTAATTAAATACAGTGGAATTTCAGTTACTTTTTAATATTTAATTAAATAAACAAATTATCATGGTTCGTATAATTTAAAAAATAAGCATGATATAATGCAAGATGTTGGAGATTAAAACCTCCTTGTTAATACTTTTTTTATAGCCATATACTCTTTAATGTTCCTGTCACTGTTCTTCTTTTGTTTTTTCATTGCATTTGATCTTTTCACAATATACGGAAGCAAATTAATTTCATTTATCCACAATTACCTAGTTTTATTACAATCACCATAATAACCAACTGAGAAATCCATAATACTCCCCAACATGGTCCAAGATCGAAGCCGGATGTAAGAATTTATTGAATTAATTACAATTTATTAAGAAAAGGAGTTTTCCAAATTACAAGAAATTGTCGCTGCCGTTGCCGTCACGTTTTCCACCACATTCTGCAAGGAGTATCGCTTGGGTCTATACCAAACAGTGTGTGAGTATTATAGTTTATACCCAACACTTTTAATTGCATATTTTATTATTAGTGTGTTTATATTTTTGCGACACGACTCCCAGAATGACCGATGAAAAGGGATTAATTAGGAAGCGTGGTAGTTTCAAGGGGCGTTTAACATCATTTTCGACATACTTAAATTCATTAGATGTTTCATCAATGAGTCCCACTGATGTCAAGGAATTGCAGTTCCGGATTGGTAAGATTGAATTATTATATGACCAATTCGATGAAGTACAATTGCAGTTAGAATGTATTGTCGAAAACAGTGATTTACAAATTTCTGAAAGGACTGAATTTGAATCTCAGTATTATAAATTGCTTGCATTAGGACAGAAAATACAGTTTGATTTTAGTAGTACATATGACCAACATTTGAACGTAAATAGTGAAAAGTGTTCTCGATCTGGTAATAATTGTAAACCCGTCCGTCTTCCTATTATTGAAATAAAAAAGTACAACGGATCGTATGATACCTGGATTGAGTTCCGTGACACATTTACAAGTCTAATACATTCCAATGACGATATTGATCCAATTAACAAGTTTCATTACCTGAGAGCGTCATTGGAAGGTACCGCTGCGGTTGTAATACAATCATTTGAATTCTCTTCAAAGAACTATGAGATAGCTTGGCAGCTCTTATGTGAACGGTTCGATAACAAACGCTTGTTATTACAGAATCATGTTAGTGCTTTATTTAATATAGAGCCGGTCACAAAGGAGTCATCAACAGTGTTAAAACGGGTAGTAGATCAGGTTAATAAAAACCTCCGTGCTTTGGAGTCTCTAGGAGAGCCAGTTAAACACTGGGATACCTTACTCATTCACATTGTGACTCATAAATTAGATTCAAAATCATATCGTGAATGGGAGGAGCTCAAAAGTAACTTAGATAAAAATAAACCTATTACCTTTAATGATTTTATTACCTTCTTGCGTAATCGTGCGGATTTATTAGAGAGTCTTGAGTTGTCGCGTAATGTTAGTACAAGTAATCAGCCATCTCAATATATTAAACCTACGTCAAAGTGTAAGTCAATGGTCTCTGTACAAAATAATAATATAGTTCCAATGGTTTGTCCTAAATGCAATGGTGATCATAGTTTAGGTAATTGTCATCAATTTTTATCATTAAGTAACAATGAACGTTTTCAGTTATTACCAAATTATAAGGTTTGTTACAATTGCTTCCGTAAAGGTCATTTTGCCAATCATTGTAAGAAAACTGGCTGTAAAGTTTGCAAACGTAAACATAACACTCTCGTTCATGTGGTCGACCTTAAATCGGTTTTAAATAATGAGACTCTTCATTCTGATGTCTGTTCAACTTCAGAAACTTCGCGACCTGTTGTTAGGATACGCGATGAGTCTAATATTCCGATTTCTTTGTCAGCTAATGTTGCTGATATGAATGCCAAGAGGTCCTACTATCGACTGCATTAGTTAAGGTGTATGATATTCATAACCGCGAGCATGTTGCTCGAGCAGTACTCGATAGTGGTAGCACTTCATGTTTAATGACAGAGAAAATGTACAGTCAGTTAAATTTGTCTACAATTAATGTAAATAAGTCAGTAATAGGCATTAATAATATATCATCGCACGTAGGCAAAATGTGTCGAGTATCAATGAAGTCATTGAATAGTAGTTTCTCGGTTAATATTAATTGTTACATTTTGCCATCAATTACGGATAACGTGCCTTCACGTCAAATAAATTTGACGGATTTAAAATTGCCATCTAACATTCATTTAGCTGATCCCAAATTTTATTCTCCATCTGCTGTCGACTTAATACTCGGCGCTGATATATTTTGGGATTTAATAGGTTTACAGCAATTGAAATTAGGTATTGATAAGCCGATACTTCATGAAACCAAACTTGGTTGGGTGGTTTCAGGCCCAATAAACTGTGGCTACAAATCGTCGTCTTCACATAATATAAAATGTAATTTTTCTTCTATACACGATGAGACTCCAACTCAATTAACGCAGTTCTGTCAGTTCGAACAAGTCTGTCCTCAGTCATCTAATTATTCCGTTGAAGAAAAGTTATGTGAAGAACGTTTTATTAAAAATATTACTCGTTTGAAAGATGGTCGATTTTGTGAAAGGATACTGAAACAAAACTCTATCATGTTAAGCGATTCATTTCAGCGAGCTAAATATAGTTTTTCAATAGAGCATAAGAAAGTGAATAAACCTATATTTAAAATAATGTACACTGATTTCATATCAGAATATGAATCTTTAGGTCATATGACCAAATGTTTTAATAACAATTCGGATTCTGTACAATATTATTTTCCTTGTCATAGAGTTCTGCGTGAAAGTAGTCCTACTTCATTAAGTATTTCTTATAATAATTTACAATATGTCGGTCCTACTATACAGAAAGATCTTAGGTCTATATCTCTTTGGTTTAAGCAATATAAATACATCATAGATCTATGTTTAGAGAATATGTACAGGCAAATTATTATACATCCCGAATATAGATGCATACAATCAACTTTATTGCATGGCGACCCATTTAAGCCTTTTAAGTTGTATCAGTTATATATTGATTTAGAGTGTAAAGATGATAAAATCTGTGACATAATTATTCGTGATTTCAATGTCGCTGACATGCTCACTGGTGGGGATGATATTGGTGAGGTTAAGCAAATTCGTGAGCAGGTCAGCTCTGCACTTCTTTCAGCAGTCATTAATTTACGGAAATGGAAATATAGTAATCCAATTCCATGTGATTTTAATGACACTCTAGTTAATTTAAATATCGGTATGACTGATGAGTCAAGTAAGACTTTAAGGTTCGGTTGGCAACCAGGTTTATACAGCCTTTTACTATTTAGCTTGGACGTATTATATTTTTGTATAGTTAAGTTGGATCCTAAAGGACATACAAATTATGATATTTTGTTTATAATCGCGCAGATATTTAATTCCTTAGGTTTACTCTCTCCTTGTGTTAATATAATAAAATTATTGTTAAAACTCAGGATCACCTGGGATGAGCAAATATCACCAGATATTGGTCATATCTGGATTGAGTTTAATTATAATTTGTTTGCTCTAAATAATATGCAAATAGACACGACATATCGTGTACTCGTGTATGATTCATATAAGTTTATTGAATTGCATATTTTTACTAAATTCTATAATTTTATGATTCTTGTTTATATGTTTATAGTGTTGACAAATGTGGTAAGGTTGAAATATTATTCCACATCAATGTTTAAAACTGTCAACATAATTTTAATATCCAATTTAATATTTTCTAAGGTTATAATTTACTGCTACCTTTATCTTAGAATTTACTTATGAATAAAACTGTTAGTAAAGTAATAGTAAATTAAAAGAGCATTAATTTTAACTTTAATTATAGTTAAGCAATACTAATAGATATATTATATTATTTAGACAAATATATGATTAATAAAATTAATGATTTTGCATAAAAAGTATCCATTGTTAATGTTTAGAATTAATGCGTCGTCTTAAATAAATAAATAAAAATTTTAAATATAACAAAAGCACCTAATGTTATTATACAGTCCACTAATAGATTTACAAACTGCCTTCATTATGTGTTGTACTATATTCGTACGAAGGGTAAAACAATATCTCCTTTTATGAGTAATAAGTATACCTATTTATTTATAGTTAATTTCGGATTTCATCTGGAATTTTCCCTTTTAAAACTGTTGGTTTGGATTAAGCAAATCCATTCACTGTAGCTACTCGTCAGTACCGTGTCTGTAGGCTTGTAAAAGTATATGTTAACTAATACCATTCATTTAGAAAATGAATCATTTAATAAGGTAGGAAGTGACGAGTACAATTATTACTAGGTTTACGTAAATTTACATCTAGTATGGGAAATCCACATGATATGTTCATATATTCCGACAATTGTACTTCATTTAAGGGGACATATTATTTATCAAATTTTTTTGAAGAACATCTGCAATTCTTTGATTTATGGTGCAGCCAATGAGGATTTAATATTTCATTTAATACCGGCTTTTATTATATTGTAGTCTCTGGGAATCGGGCGTAATATCAA